CCCCAAAACCCCAAAACCCCAAAACCCCAAAACCCCAATATTTAATAAAATATTGAAAACAGCTGTAATAAATGTCACTCAGACAACTCAGAAAATTAGAAAAGCTTAAAAATCAGAAAGCTCAAGAAGAAGCAGAGGCGGAAAAGGAAGATATAACAGAAGAGGCTGAAGGAGAGGGAAATGAAGAAGAGACATATGAAGAAACTACCCCTAAAATATCTTTCACACAATTCGCCGGTTTACTTAATATCTCCTCTGACGATAATGATGAGGATAATGGCTCTCAAGAGGAAACTGAAGCGAAAGAGAAGCAGACCCAGCAACAACAGAAATCTAAGAAAAAGAAGAACAAGAAGAGGAAACGCAATAAGAAAAAGAACAAGCAGAAGGATGAAGAAGAGAAGGATCAGGAACAAGAAGAGGAAGACATCCTAAATGAAGCTATCCGTAAGCATATCTGGACTATTGTATAGAGGAAAACCAGCAAGAGCTTGAGAAAAGACCTGAGCTCGACCAGACCCAAGTCAGTGTCCTCAGCATGAGAGCTAAGTTCTTTGACCCAGACAGAGAGATGAGACAGAGACTTCAAAGCAAAGGAGCTGGCAAATGTAAGAACTAGTGGATAATTTCTTTCCTATAGTGGCAGATCTTGAGGAAGAAAAAGGCACTCCTGACGAATTTGAAGGGCTCAATACAAAGCAAAAGAAGATGATGAAGAGAATGCAGCAAAGAGCTACCAATAAGAAGACTCTATTCGTCAAGCCAGAGAAAGACTGGGCTATGTATAACTCAATAACTGCCTATATGGAGTCTGATAGAGATGAAAATGATAATAAGGTATTCAAGTTCATTGAAAGAGACTTGTACAAGGAAATTCAGAGAGAGTTCAAATCAATCCAGCAGACTTTTGATATCCAAATGATGCTTCGCTTCTTGTCTAAAAACTTTTTCCATCATGAAACTTTGATTCATGTTGCAGACTTCATGAGAATGCAAGGTAAATTCCCAGACTCAGTGAAATTAATCCAAAGATGAATGTACGCCTTTGAAATCCTGTTTTCAAAAGATTTTGTCATTTGCGGAAACAAACCTTCTACAAGAATAGATTTTAATTCTGAAGAATCTAACCTTCCAAGTGTTTTTGCAGATTGCTTAGTAAGGTATATCGATCACTTAGGAAGAAAAGGGTGTTGCAGGACAGCACTAGAGTTTACAAAATTCTTCCTCAGCCTCGATCCAGAGAGGGATCCCTTTGGAAATTTACTTAAAATTGATTATTATGCTTTAAGAGCTGGGGAGTATCGGTACTTAACCACTTTCGCTGAGAATTATTCGAATGAATTCCATAGTCATCCACTCCAGACAGTTCTATTCACTCCAAATATCTTATTCTCTACTGCTTTTGCTAAATACAAGTTGGATGAGAAGGTAGACAACAGAACAAAGATGTTAGACGATGCTCACTCCTCTGTAAATATCTTCGTCTCCTTAATTTCAGAGAAGGCAGGTGAAGAGAGTCCAAAAATCTTGCAGTCATTGTACAATCTAAGTGCAGATGCCTTGTTGATGCTTGGGCTATCCTTCTATCCCGCTCTAGTGAAACTGATCCTCATAAAGTGAGAGGTTGAGAAAAAGCCAAATTTCTGTAAATCCTACTTCAAAGGACATCAGAAGGAGCCATGGAGTAAGATCTTGGACCACTCCATCTTTGATTTTAATGAAGATAATGAGGTACTTGAAAATTCCCTTGGGCTAGACTCTGATTTACTCAACAAATTGTTCGATCTCTATGTTGACAGATCTTCAGAATGATACAAAGATGACGAAATCATCAACTGGATGAAGGAAACAATCGGATACGTCCTTAATGAGGTTGATGAAGAAAATTTTGATAGAGAGGTCCTATTCCAATTCATTTTCAACTCCATTGGACTTCCATTCCAACTCGATAGATATTCAGGGCTAAGCAAAGAATTCTTCAATGATGATTTTACAACTGTTAACCCACAAGATCTTCTTGGTCCAGGAGCTGATGGAGGTATGGGAGGTATGAACCCAGCAGATATGCAACAAAACATGCAAGACCAGATGCAAAATCTACAGCAAATGATGGGACAAGGGGGCCAAAGAGTCCGAGTTCGTCAAGCCAGACCTCAGGTTGATCATGATAACTTAATCCTTGAAGAAGAGAATGCCGCTCTTGAGCAGCAAATCATCCTTGATCATATTGCTAACCAGCAACAAATCCAAGATGAGGATGAGGAAAATTTCGTGATTAACGACGCAGGTGATGATGAAGTTAGAAGAAATAGAGGAGAGGAATAATACTAAAATTTTAACAAAATCAACCAATCAAATCGAAGGAGGGGTTTTGGGGTTTTGGGGTTTTGGGGTTTTGGGG